AAGTTCAAAGAATGGCTATTTCTTTGAGCGTCGAAATAGACATTCTTGGGGGGCAATTTGTTGGCTCCCAAATTCGACACTTACTATATTTGGTCTTTTAGACCAAATAACTGGAATGAACCAAGCTAGGAAGTATGATTCGACACATGAAATAACTTAAGAAAAAAATCTAAGTTATATTGGAATCTTCGACCAAGGGCTCATTCGACTGAAGAAGACTTATGTTACTTGACTAAGAGAAAGTATTCTCGCTTTGGCACATGGTACGAGAATTATTTGAATTTTGAATTATTGGAGGGAAAGGCAGTTTCGCCAGCGTTTAAGAAGAAGCAACGTGGTTGAAAGTCATAGGTCGAGGGACATGCAGAAGACACTTGTCTTCATCCTAGCGCAGAATGTTCCCTCGACGGTTACCTATTTTTAGTATAAATTAAGAAGCTTGTGTAATTTTCAAGGGTGTTCAACCTATTGTACTAAATCACTCAAACATTATCCAAGTAACTACTGCGTGAGAAAGGATAAAGCTGAGAAATGTACGTTGGAAACACCTTTTTTCCTTAATAAAAGTCTTTTTACATTACTTTACTATTATCCTGCAAAGTTGTCTTTTTTATTTCTTTTACTTGCATTTCTATACTTCTGCTTACTTTTCAACAATCTCAAATATCCTTTCTCTGGGTCGAACGTGCGTTCTTCCTTCTTACCCATTTTACATAAAAATTAGCATATGTCATAGGATTAGTTTGATCGGTCCTGTGAATAAACCAAATAACTTACCTTTTTGGAGATCAGCGATTGTTTACCAAAAACAACGGTAAACATCCATAGGATCTTTTAAGTCATAGTATGTCTACTTCAATGCTAAGTCTGACAACTCCAAATCTAAAATTTAGAATGAACTCAAATATACCTCTCAAAATTACACACAACTTTGTGCCAGATATTAGAAAAGCGTAAGCATGGTTTCTTAATATTTGAGGAATTAAAAACATTTGGTTTTAAGGTTCTAAGTTTACGGGTATACTTGATTAGCTCACATATATGGATTCTCCTTACTTCTTTCAAAGGTAGCAATGTCCCTTGCATTACCCTCATTCAAAATAGTAGCAATTACTGGAGCATATTTCGAAGCTTCCAACAATGATCTCACAAATTTGTAAGTTAAATTAAGCATATGCATATTCCAAAAACGCCATGCATGTGGCCGGATGCACCATGCTGGCAACTGCACCAAATGCAAGGTTCTTCTACTCTGTGTTAGGTAATGATCCATCAACTGGGATATAATTTATACACAAATTTGTAGATAAAAACACTCAAAACTCATATCAGGTACAAATCAAAACAAAGCAGAGAAAAACTAATGAATGATTATGCAAGAAATAGATGCAAAAGCTAAAATAACGCTCATCACAATAATGCAATCTACGCATAAAAAATTAAACAAAAGTTCTAGAAACTTAAAAAAACCCAAATGATAGTGTGAAATACTACTCAACATCACTAACACTTTCTATGATGATTGAAAATAGGCTTATCCCTGGCTTGAGTATAGCAGCAGCAACAATTTTAACACAACTTTCGATGAATATAAATATTCAGGACCATCTTCATTGCTCATAGAATGTTCAAAGGAGAAGAACAACTTTTGATGCTTCTATAACTCAACGAAATGAGATAGTAACTCAATGAAACCATCGGTATTTAAACACGTCCAACTCCCAAAAATTATCATGGGTCGAATCGTCAACATATTAACATAGAAGATCAATTCTTTAAAAACACAAAATCATTTTGAAAATCCTAAATCCAGTAGTGGTTTGGAATATGCGCATATGTCAAATTGAGAAATTGGGTTATTTTACATACATAATCCGAACCAACTCTTATTTTTTATTTTTAGAAAAATTTATTTTAAAAAAATATTTATTTATAATATAATTATAACATAATTAAATTAAATTATTATTAATAAAGAATAACTTAAATTTATAATTGAAAATTAAATATTAAAGTAAATTTATGATATGAAATTAAACAATGAATGTAATAATTAAATTTTTAATTATAATTGTGTAATCATTAATATATTTTATAATCAATGTAACTAAATAATCACAAACAAAAAAAAGTAATCAAAGTTTTAAACCTTGCGTTCCTGCGTCTCAGATATTTATGCGGTCTAATGTAAACAATTCAGTTTTCTAAAAAATCAATTCTGAATTAAAATTTTACCGCGTCAATTTATCTGGAAAAAATCAAGACGTTTTCATATTTTTGAAAAAATCTGAAAAAATTTGTAGACACTTAATTTGATTTTATTTGATTTTTAGTTGTATTTTTAAATTTCTATAATAGAGTAAAATTCAGAAATACATATCAAAAACCATTTTTCGTAAAAAATAAAGTTTGTTCGAAACTGCATGTCTAAATTCACTTTATTTTTGTAAAATTCGAATATACATATCCGAAACTACTTTTTTTTTTTGTAAAAAATAATGTGTATTCAAATATTCATACCTAAAACTATTTTTTTATTTAAAATTGGATGTTTTCAGATTTGCATATTCAAATTCTAAAAATATTTTAAATTTTTTTTATCAAAAATCTAAAAAAAGAGTAATAGATATAGAAAGAAATTCTTAAAGAACTTTTTCTGTTTTGATAATATATTTGAATGATAAATATCGATAAAGTAAAAAGAAGACGAAAACAAGTCAGAAAAGTTGTAACTTGAAAAGAGGAATTTGGTTAGTTTGGAAGCATTGAAGAAACATAGTTGAGAAATAGTTGGTTTAGACAAAAAAAAAAAAAAAAAAAAAAAACTCAAAATGATGAGGTGTCGGATGAAGAGAAAAGGATAGAAATAGAAATTTCAAAATATTTTCTTATATTATAGATCAATTGTTTGTTTTTTAATTTTCTTTCTCTCATAATTTCTCTAAATTTTTTCCATTTCAAATAGGATAGGGTCTCCCCTTACATGTGCAAATGGCTCTAGCAACAAATATTTTTAATTTTGGATCTACAGATTTTGAGTAAAATTCTTAATTTTGGATCTACAGGTTTTGAGTAAAATACTTATTTCTCTCACCCATTTGAGATCAAAATCATCTTTTCATTTTCTAGGATTTCTTTTACACCTTAACTTCTTCTGTTTATTCTTAAATAATGGATCCGAAAAAATATCTGAAATAAACTGTCACCTGTCGGAACCGTTTGGACGGAAATGAGCCAAAATTTTGTAACCATGATTTCAATCTGATTGTGATTTTCAGTCCGTCACGGACCGTTGTCCATCCCTAATTATAGAATGCAACTTTGCAGACAAAATAGCTTAATCATAATTTACACCAAAGGTTATAATTAGCACATGTTAATTGCACATGTACAATACTTCAATTTATATAAACTCAAGTAGATAATAAATTATGATAATGACTTTACAAAATAAAACAATATTTCAACTCCAAATAGATCATGTGAATGAAAATGTGGTCTTTTGGTATCTAATACCCAATCTACCATGTTAAGTTAAATTGGTTATCCACATTAATAAAATCATGGTCCAATCTTCTAGATAGGAATCAAGTATTAATCCTTTTATAAAGCTGAATTGTATTTTCTATCAATAACTAATTCTACTTGCATTTAATGTGCTTATCCTTTCAAACTTTAACTCTTTTACATTCATTTAGTATATCAGCACTCTTCTTGTAATTTAATCACTAAATGTGTTACAGTACCCTGTTAGAAATTACTGTATTAAAATGAGAACAAGTTATATACCTTATTGCAAATCACGTTCTTGTTCATAGGTACTTGTAAACTAGAGTTTACTCAACATTCAAGTCTCTTATACAGATGTAAATTGGAATCAAATTGATCTCAGACATGTATTATTACCTAACATGACAGCTCACTTTTAGCCAAACTTTTAACTCAATATGATGTTATTTCATGAAAACAATAGATTAAAGAATAAATCTCACACCAGAGTTGAATATACAATTTAACACCATAAAATGTGTGTAATTTATCAGAACTCAGAATTCTAATTGTTATTGTTTAACTGTTCTAATTTGAAGAAGTTCAACTCACCTTTTTAAAAAAACACTCATTCATAGTTAAGGATTGTCTAACTAAGATTAAAAAAAAAGGTATACATGTTCACATGCAAAAAAAATCTAATTCAAAGATATAATTAGTCACATACTTCTTTAGACTTTCATTTCTAAAACTAGCATGAAAGATCTACTTAATAATTAGTTATGGACACAAATATACATTAAAAGAAGAAACATTGTTCAATAATTAATATCAACATTCATAAGCTTGACCTATTTTCCACTCCTGCAACAGAATATCACTACTCATGAATTAGTTTATACTTTATAATAAGTTACATTTTGCATCCACCAAATTGTTTAAACTTTTGGTTTCTACATCATGAGTATATCAAGACAGTACAATACTAGTAATATAGAGATGAATACATGACATTTTATCTGCAAAAGTCTGTATAAATTTTTCACATGTATACTGTTATTCTGTTAATTTTAGACTTTTTATTCACCATCAAACACATGCTTATTTTTATTGATTAACTAACCAATGCCTACTTGGCCAAAGACTAGATAATGGATATATTATATAGATGCAATCTAGATGTTTTTTTTTTTAATTATCTATATAATTCAATTTTGTGTAAATACAGCTTAATAAAGCAAACAAAACACAAAGAGTGAAAGCAAATCCAACTATGGCGAAAGTTCAAGGAGAATATTTAAAATGGATGGAAGAAAAGTATACTTGATTCTGCTGCAACATTCAAATAATTTCTGCCACAACAAGAAAAGGATTGTGTGTCATATGAAATGATCATTTGACCGAAGAGAAACCATAAAAATTAATTACGGTATATAAAATGTGCAAATACAACCAAATAAATCACAAACAACCCCTTCCTTGTTAACAACATAAAACTGTCGATCAAGGAGATGAAAATTGTCGATCAGGTGTTGTCTACCACACCCATGAAAGGTGATTCATGTAACTAACAGTTTACGCTTGTTTGTTTTGGATTCTTTTAATTAACTGATTTATTCAAGATCAATATATTTTTTTATAGGAAGAAAAGCCCCACCAAGTCATTACACATTCAAAATGCAGTCCTTCTCACTGCTTTCAAAGGCGTCCATTGAAAAATGTGTCTCAGAAGAGTTTGAAGCAGGAGGTTATAAATGGTATGCAAATGTTTTTGGCCTTAAAATGAAGTATCCCTTCTTTTTTACTTTTATCATATAAATCTTAATATACGCAACGACACTTTATATTGAAAATATGTCTAATGTCTGTGTCCGTGTGTGACCATTGCGTCAGGAGTTTATCTATTTACCCAACTGGAAACACAAACGGAAATGGACAAGGTCATGTTTCTATTTATTTGATGCTTATCAACACAACTTCGTTACCTAATGATTGGGAAGTCAATGCCATTATAAATTTTTCTGCATACAATTTTAAGGACGATGAGTACGTTACAACACAAGGTAATACAATTAAATTTATTAGAATTGAGTAATTTTTAGTCCTCATAAAATACACTTCATGCAGATGCAACTGTTATGCGTTTTCATGTCATGAAAACAGAATGGGGTATCTCAAAATTCATCAACCTTGAAACATTTCTTGACCCTGCAAACGGATATCTGAATGACGATAATTGTGTTTTCGGAGCTGAAGTTTTCGTAGTCAAGACTATAAATAAAGGCGATTGCTTATCAATGATACAAGAATCTACCACAGTTTCACATAGCTGGAAATTTAGCAAATTTTCACTTGCAAATTTAGACGTGTACAAGTCTGAATCGTTTGTAGGTGGAGACTATAAATGGTATGTAAATACTGAAATATTTCTCATTTATCTAACAAAACCTCGAAACGCTAAACCCTAATCATGATTAGATACATGAACTTTTTATATAATTTATTTGTTTGTTTTTTCTAGGCAGCTTGAGTTACACCCTAATGGATTAATTGAGGCAAAGGGTATGTGTGTTTCATTGTTTTTAGCTTTGGATGTTTCAACTCTACCAGCTAACACTAAACTTGTTGTGGATGGCACTCTTCGTGTTAAAGACCAAATCAGTGGCCAACATGCTCAACGAAAATGTAAGCCTGTGAATATGTTTTCTTAACTGTTAATAAAATAATGTTGCCTCTCTAATCATCACTTAATCTAAATTTTGTTACAGTTAATTGCAAATTCTCCAGTTCAAATTTAGGGTGGGGGGTTAGAAAATTCTTGAGTTTGACTAAAGTAAAAAATCCGAAAAATGGATTTTTGGTGGAAGATAGTTGTATATTTGAAGTTGAGTTTATAGTTGTTGGATTACTTACACCTAGAATTTGATTGATGTATTATATATCAATGTCAACTTATGCAAGTAACTCATTCGTATAATCTCATAAATATATTTTAATGAGAACAAGTTATATACCTTATTGCAAATCACGTTCTTCTTCATCACTTGAGATTTGCTTGCCTATTATACAGCCTTCACTATTTCCATTCGCATCATTGACCACTATAGATGGACCACTATCTAAAATCAATATAGTATTAATCTCAATCAATTTCACAGAGTATCTGAGCTTTTGGCCAAAAGTGATGAATCTCAACTACATATGGTATACATGCTCACATGCAAAAGAATCTAATTCAAGGATATAATTAGTCACATATATCTTTAGATTTTCATTTCTAAAACTAGCATGAAAGATCTATGTATCAATTAGCTATGGACTAAACATTAATTCAAATTGATTCAGGTTCATGTATCCCAACGTACACACAAATATACATTATAAAGAAGAAATAGTGTTCAATATTTAATATAAACATCCAAAAGTTTGACCTATTTTCCAAACCTGCAACAAAATATCACTACTCGTGAATTAGTTTATACTCTATAATAAGTTACATTTTGCATCCACCTAACTGTTTAAAATTTTGGACTTTACATCATGAGTATACCAAGACAGTACAATACTAGTAATATAGAGATGGATACATGACATTTTATCTGCAAAATTCTGCATAAATTTTTCAGATGTATACTATTAATCTGTTACTTTCATATTAAAAGATATAAAAAATGTCCATTCTATGTTCCCTTAATTTTAGACTTTTTATTCACCATAAAACTCATACTTATTTATATTGATTAACAAACCACTGCCTAATTGGCCAAAAACTAGTTAATGGATATATTATATAGTTGCACAAATGGACCAAACAAATGAAATTCTATTATAATAGTAGTAACTACAAGTTTCACTTTGACATTGAAGGAAAGTGAAATGATGCATTTCATAAAGACATAACAAACTATGGTAATTATTACTACACTTGCATATTATACAAAGAAATGTTTTTGAAAACAAACAAATAAAATTAACAAATTGGAAGAGGAGCACCTTTCCACTCTCCCAAGCATTCAAGAAGGGGATCAATGATTTTTCCTTGGCAAATAGCTGTAAATAATTTGTCACACTCTTCACCTGGAGAAATGACATTTTCTCCTGTTAGCAAACCAGTCCCCAACTCTTGTCTCACAAACTTGTAAAGTGGATAAGATCTACATTCATTGATCTTGTTTGGAACTCTAGGATTTCCATTCTCATATGCAGCCCTTGCACTTTCAACCTCTTTTGGCAAAAGGGTCTTCAACTCATCCTCGAAAGTTGCAATCTTTTGGAAGATTGATGTGTTCAAATTCTTCTCATTTTCTCCATTTATTAATGCATGATCCACTAAGACCTGCCTCAGTTTTTGCATCAATGGATATGTAGCACTGCAAGGATCATCAATATAGGCAAACACATGCTCCCTATCAACCACTCTCAACAAGTCCTTTTCACAAAACCTTGAAGGATGGAGTTCTCCATTAACACCTGTTGTAAGGGTCCGTTTAGCAACTTGGCTTACAATGTTTTTGACTGAGTTTTTCAAGTTCTCCTCCAAATGTCTCAAGTCAATTGCTTGGCAAAGTGCAATCAAGAATGTGGAAGACATGAGTTGTAGGATTTCAATGGCTTCATATGTTTTCCTAGAAGAAATCAAACCCAAGGAGTTGACATCTTGGTTGTGTTGCTCGGCACTTTGAACATGAGTTGTGACCGGATTTGCAAGGTACTGTAACTCGGAACAATAAGAAGCCATGGCGATTTCAGATCCTTTGAAACCATAATCCAAGCTGGGATTTCTACTAGCAGAGAGATTCGAAGGCAAACCGTTGTTGTAAAAATCATTGACAAGCTCTGAGAATTGAGCAAACATGAGTTTACCAATGGATGCAAGAGCCAAACGCGTATTATCCATGGATACTCCAATTGGTGTTCCTTGAAAATTCCCACCATGAATAGCCTTGTTTCTTGAAACATCAATCAAAGGGTTATCATTGACAGAGTTAATTTCTCTCTCAATTGATTTGGTAGAGAATCTAATGACTTCAATGAGAGGACCAAGCCATTGTGGTGAAGTTCTAAGTGCATATCTATCTTGTTTTGGTTTCTGCAAAGGATCCGTCTCATGCAACTTCTTAGCGGCATTGACGTATGCACTTCCATCCAAAATATGTTCCATAATAGCAGCAGCTTCAATTTGACCAGGGTGGTGCTTTAACTTGTGCGTCAAGTGATCGGTAAATTCGGGTTTGCCTTGCATAACTTCGGCGAAAATAGCAGATAGGACTTCAGACAAGACGGCCAAGATGTTAGCTTCAAATAGAACAATAGAAGCTAAACCAGAACCAACAGCAGTTCCGTTAACAAGTGCAAGTCCTTCTTTTGGTTGTAATTCAAAGAAATCAGCATTGATTCCAGCCAAGTGAAAAGCTTGTTTGGCATTAAGTATTTCTCCAGAAGGTCCATGAGCTTTGGAATTCGGTCTTCCTGTTAGTAAACCTGCAATGTAAGAAAGAGGGACTAAATCTCCTGAAGCTGTGATAGTACCTCGAAGCGGTAAACACGGGGTGATGTTGTTGTTAATGAGCTTGGTTATGGCTTCCAAGATTTCAAATCTAATTCCAGAATAGCCTTGGAGAAGTGTGTTGATTCGCACTAACATGGCGGCTCTTGTTGCTGTGTGTGGCAGTATGTGGTTTGACTCGGTTCCACTTCCAAATATTCCGGCATTTAAGAACCTGATGAGTTCTTTCTGCAGAGCACCTCCTTGTTTGGTTCGGCGATGTGAGGTGGCGCCAAAACCGGTGGTGACACCGTAACTGTCTGTGCCTTTATTCATACTCTCCATCACCCAGTCACTGCTGGCCTTAACGCCAGCTCTAGCAGACTCCGACAACTCCACTTTCACACCCTGGTCGTGTGCCGCAATGGCAGCCACCTGAGAAATGGTGAGCGTTTCGCCACCCAGACGAACCACCGGCTTACGGTACTCCTCCACCATACGTTTCACTTCATCGAAGTGACTCCCTTTCATTGCTTCAGCCGCCGCACCCCAATTCAAAGGGTCAGCGGTATTCACTTTCATGTTATTATTTTTAGCATTGGTGAAGCAGAATGAATCATAACCGTTGTTGTTTTTTGTAATGGCTGCAGCTACTGCTTCCATTTTAGTTGTTCTTTTCTTGTGTTTTGAGAAAGTGGAAAGTGAAAATAAATGATTTTGAAAGAAAGAAAGAATGAAGGAAAGTGAAAATAAATGTTTATGAAAGAAAGAATGAATGAAAGAGTTGTAGTGAATTTCTTGAGATATGATGGAAGAGTGGCTGGAGCTTTTATATAGAGAGATTTGTTTTGGAGGCTATATAATTCATCAAGTATTCTAATAATATTGCATGTGTTTTTGTTAGGTAGGGAGAGAGACAAGGTGCTCAAGGAGAAAAGGTGAGTTTGTTGAAAATTAATAATCAGCGTTCGATTATGATTTAGTAGTATTGATTGGTTATGATATTGCCACGTGGCACTCTAAGATGTTGGTATACTTTGTTACTTGGTTGGTAGGACCAAAACAAAACTGAGGTAGTTGGTGAGAAGAAGCATAGTGGAGAAGCAACTAGCAAGAAGAGTTGCTGAGTCAGTTACATGCACGAATTGACCAGGACTCTTCATCATCTCATTCAACTCTATACCTCGTCAACCCTCTACTCTTTATATGATCCATAACATCATTTTTATATTATTCTACTTTATATTATATACACTATACATTAACTGATCAATATTTTTATTTCAGTGTAAATAGTATAGGTGTTCAAAATCGAACAAATTCAATAAAAAATCTTAAATTAAATTAAATCAAATTGAAAGTGTAAAAAATCACGTTTGTTTCAGAAAAAATGATGAATTTCCTGACATAAATTCATCATTCACGGCGGCCTTGACAGCGGCTTGCGGCGGCTAGGGTTAGGGTTCTTGGGATTACCTAGGGTTCAAAGGATTTAGGTTAGGGTTTGTGGGGTTCATGCGTTATGGGTTGATAAGGGTTGAAGGTTAGAAGTTTTTGGTTGCCATTCAACCGGAAACTGGGAAACACACGGTGGTTTTGGGGTGGCTACGTCGGTTAGGCGATTTTCGGCGAGCCTTTGTGGTGGAGAGAGGAGAGAGTGTTTGAGAGAGACGAGAGAACGGGAGAGTGAAGAGAGAGAAAGGAAGGTTGAAAATGAAATATTGTGAATAAGAAAAAAATAAATACTCCCCCTGTCATGCGCTGGATCGATGACATGTGGTCATTCACTAGCCACATGATATGGAGACTATTGACTAGTTTTCTTGTACGCTCTCCCACCGTGCACCCTAGTCAAACTTCAATCCCATACGTTCGTTTGTTATATGATGAATGCTAAATTATTGTGAAATTGAGTGAGAATTATTAGCACTCAACGACTTAATTGGTTTGTTTTTTCTCAATAAACCTCAACTTTAGTGTATATTAAGTATATTTTACGTTATAGTGTATTTATTGTGTTATCGTGTAAATATCATTGATTTTAATTGATTTTATCTCATTTTTGTAGGCATCCAAGCATTGATATTTAGGCATTGTTAGATAGAGCATTGAATAAGTTTTCCAACGCTTCCGGCCGTGCGCGAATCGGAGTTACGGTTCTCAAGTTATGGCCGAAACAATGCAGAAATATGTGTTGGTTTTTCAACTTTTTGTCATCCGTCGCCGGGTGACGCTTTTTGGTCGCCGGGAGACGCTAGGTGAGCTGAAGCATGGAAAAAATGTTGTTTTGGTCGCGGATGATGCTTTTTGGTCGTCGGGCGATGCTGGACAGGCAGAAATGCGCATTTAGGTTTAAAAACACATTTTTTGGGGATGACTTTGGGTATTTCTGACCCCAACTCCATCACCCTTCATTCTTTGATAGGATTAGCTTAGAAAAA